CTCTCGACATTTGTCATTAAGATCACGCTATAGAAACCGCTTAAAATTAAGTATAAAGAAGAGAAGAAAGCGGCCCTAGGCAGCTGCCTACACAGGATCCGCCACTGCCAGATGCCGTTAGAAATTTACTAAAAACAAGCCTATGGCAAGATATCTGGTGGTTGGGGGGGGGGTGGCACCTGGGGTGGCCAGCCAGATTTCAGGGGGGGCCGGTGCCACCACGTAGACATGCCCAGACACGCCCCTGGGTTGTTTCTGGTTTTCCGGCTGCTGTGCGTTGGACACTCACGATGGTTCACAGGTAGGCTTGTCTCGTTGTTAAAAGGAATTTTGTCCATTAACAAGAGAGGCTGATTTGTTATGTTTGTAGTTGTCGTCACACAAATAGCCTGCATTTCCTATGACTGGTAACGATGTGTAGTACGCCGCCATAACGCTCCCGTGGTATGTATAATTGTGAGTGTCCTTGTTTTTAATTCTCAGTGTATTGTGGGTAACTCACTTTTCCATGTTCGGCAGGTAACTGCACGATGTAAACATCACTGAAATATCAATGACGATCTGCTGCGTGAGATCACGTGAGGCACTCCCTCTGGCATGATAATCTTAATAATATCTTGTAGTGTGTGATGCGCCATGATGTTCAAATCTTGTAGTGTGTGCATGTTTAAGATTTGAGAGAAGATAATCTGCAAAGATTCTCCTTATGTGTGTGCTGCAACCAGATTTCATAATCGGTTAGGATTTTAAAACTCCTGTAGTGTGAGCCCGGCTTTTGAGTGTATGCTTCGACTCAGAGCAGCTCTTATGCTTCAGAGGCTGCTCTAAAGGGTTGCTGGACACGAAGCAGAGACTGACAGAGATCTCGCTTGATAGTGGATGCTATAGCCTTGGCTTACGCCTCAGCAGGCTTAAAGTGTCCTATAGATGTGAGGGCCCACTCCACCCAGCGCAATTTCTATTGGTAATATCATGGCGGCTGCCGGCTGGATGTCTCCGTCTACCTTCACCAGATTTTATAACTTGTGTCTCATTATTAGCTCATGCTTAGAGGAGCCCTCAGTATGGGTGCTCCAAGGCTGGGCTCGCAGAGTGGCTTCATTCTGCACTTGCTTATAGCACTTGCTTATAGCACGGCATGATAGGATGCGTTCCCCATAGCATGATTAACGCAACGGGAAACTGTTCGAAAGGGAACGCTCAGGTTACTTACGTAACCTCGGTTCCCTATGATAAGGGAATGAGTGTTGTGTAGGCTACTGTGCTATAAAGCTGCACGCGAGTCGACGACTGTTGCTTCAGTCGAAAGATTCTGATGAAGTGGCACTCAGAGCCGACTTATATAGCAGTCAGCTCCACCACTTTTGGTGAGTTGGTTTGTGCAGCTACATGAACGTGAACAAATCAAGTTTCAGTATCAGAGTAAACAGGAGTTTCTCCATAGCGTGATTAACGCAATGCTCGTCCCCTTATCTCAGGGAACCAAGGTTTGTTAGTAACCGGAGCGTTTTCAAATGTTTGTAATGAAACAAGATAATTGTTGAAAGCTGCAAGCACATCATTATTATACTTTCATATCTGCAATTCACTTTCATTGTGAATAAATCATCTTGATGGTATAAACTTTACTACATTTGAGTGAAATGAGCTGAAATCAGTCAGCAGATGACTGCAGTTTTCTGATGTGATAGGAATTTCACCTCTCAATATATGAACATATGCCTGTTGAAAATCACAGGTCCAAATGCATGTTATATGTATGTGCTGCACATGATGCAAGACAACGTCAATGTGTGACATTTTTCATTTGAAGAAAGTGATTTAAGGAGTTTTCTCTCCTCAGACACGAACGTGAACAAATCAAGCTTCAGTATCAGAGTAAACAGGAGTTTCTCCATAGCGTGATTAACGCAATGCTCGTCCCCTTATCTCAGGGAACCAAGGTTTGTTAGTAACCGGAGCGTTTTCAAATGTTTGTAATGAAACAAGATAATTGTTGAAAGCTGCAAGCACATCATTATTATACTTTCATATCTGCAATTCACTTTCATTGTGAATAAATCATCTTGATGGTATAAACTTTACTACATTTGAGTGAAATGAGCTGAAATCAGTCAGCAGATGACTGCAGTTTTCTGATGTGATAGGAATTTCACCTCTCAATATATGAACATATGCCTGTTGAAAATCACAGGTCCAAATGCATGTTATATGTATGTGCTGCACATGATGCAAGACAACGTCAATGTGTGACATTTTTCATTTGAAGAAAGTGATTTAAGGAGTTTTCTCTCCTCAGATATCAGCAGTGATTCACAATCACTCATCAGGAGGAATTATCCTACGAGAAGATGCTTTCTCATAATTTTTCTGAACACAGACTGTTAGAGATGTACCACAACTCTTTTATTGAACTGAAATTGAACAACATTGCATCCACTTCTATTCGTGAAGTGATATGCTTGATTTACACACAATGGGAATGTAAAGAGTTTACATTACAGGTAATAGAGATTGAACATTTCAATGAACAAATTCAAGAAAGGATCAAAACAGCTGCATGAATAGAGTTACAGGCAAAATGAAACGAAATAAACACTAAATCTACTGTAATTCAATAAACTGTGTTTGCACCATCTGAAGAACCCATCACCAATGACAATGTCAAGCTGCAGATTCCTCTGGAGACTAATGGGAAATGAGTATCAGTGGAGAGCGTGTGTGTGAGAGAGTTAAAGAGTGGACAGTCAATGTTATTCGGTCACTGACTAATGGCTACACAATATTTCAGCAGTGGAATCAAAGAATCTCCGTCAAAGAGAAAGCACACGCTGCTTAAGAAAAAAAATCACATTGACCTTTATTGTGCGAACAGCAAAATCAAATGATTTAATCATGTAACATAACTGATATTTCTAGAAAAGCAGTCTACTGGTGAGAGAAGCGGTGCTTCAGCGAGTGTTTATCTGACTGCTCCAGCAAACACAGATGATGAATCATGGGAACATAATGGTCAAATTTCAATGAGTTTCCACGTGCCGATCCTGTCCGTAGCAGTATAGAGAACCGGACGTGATTTTGTAGCGGTTGGTCCCTGGGAAGGTTCCAGTGCCTAAAATAATTAAGTGATCCATTCATGTTGGTCTTTGGGTAATTGAGTGCAGTTCAGCACTTGTTGAGCACATTTTCTTTCACTCGCTCCCTCATTCATTCCGTTTTATTTTTCTATGGTCAATACTAACATTCATCTCAACACACTCTTAGTCTCTAGAGGTTCAGGTGACCATGCATTGGTCTCTTCACCTCATTTTAAAGGTTCTTCTTTCAAACATCCCTCACTCGTACTCAGCGATCAGCACCATCATTCCCACCCCGAACAGCAGAGCGAGGATCTCCAGCATTGACTGCCAGAAACTAGAGCGTCCCACCAGCAGCTCTGGAAGAACCGTGACGGTCGCGATGTAAACGAAGCCTCCGGCGGTGAAGGGCAGGATCCAGGCGGTTGCCGCGGCACCCACCCCTTCAGCCAATAAGGAGCAGGCAGTTCCAGCTAACGCACCAATGGCGGTGAGAAGCTGAAGACACATGGCCTGACGAAAACAGCAGAATTAAGGGTAAAGAACGAACAGTGCTGTTTAGCAAAATCAACACGAAACTCTTTTCAACCAATTTCACGTTGGCTAAAAACTAGCCCAGAACCATTGACTGACAAATCAGCTCTCTGGAGCTCTGTACCTTCCTCTTGGTGCAGCCTGACTGGACGAGAATGGCAAAGTCTCCAATCTCATGTGGGACTTCATGTAAGAGGATGGTGATGGTGGTAACAGTGCCGACCGCTGGACCTACCAGGAATGACGCGCCGATCGCAAGACCATCTGTGAAATTGTGGGTGAAATCAGCAGCCAGGTTCAGATAACCCGACACTTTAATATCTGCAGACACAGAGTTTTTCTGTCAGTAAGACAACAGCGCTGACACACGCCAACACAACAACTCAAACACTGGAGCTTTTGGGCTTGGGTTTTTGTACCAGAACTCGTCTCGACTGTTTTCTTTGCAGGTTTCTTATCAGAGTCAACGTTTTTCTCTTTCCCTCCCTTCTTCTCTCTTTTCTTGTCATCATCCTCTTCATCGCTGTCTTTTGCCTTTGGAGCCGCTGAAAACATGGCAAGAAAGGGTTTTTTATTGTATTTGGAAGCCTGTCAACAATGTCCGGATCACTGCTCAAAAAAAAAAGAGAAGAGAGGAATTATATTTCAGTATTATTTAGCAGCAGCAGGATTGTTTGCAATGTGACATGATTTTCTGCTACATCACTGGGAACAGCTGCTTGGTCTATCTGCCATTCCTAATCATCGAGTCACAGAAGAAAAGATTTCATCAAAAATAACCGGCAATCCCCACCAAAACAGAGCTGTTCTGAATCTAGTCAGATGTGCATTAGGAATATTTTTCAAGTGCTTTAAATGCAAATATACTCGGATTCGTTTAAGACTCTTACCATGAGAGTGAGAGTGAGAGTGTCCTCCCTTCAAAAGACGAACAAATTTCTCAACCACCAGAAACGCAACAATGCCACCCAGCACCCACAGCCCGACCAGCATCATGTGACCATGACCTGCACCTGCGACAGAAACCAAGCACTGACTGACACTTCAGAAAAAAACAAAAGAGCATCTTCCAATAAATTTGAATCTTGCATTGCATTTGGCCAAATTATAACTTCAGTTAGAAAAACACGTATTTCAGTGACTGAACAACAGCCTACCGTGTGAGTGACCATGTGACTCGTCGCTGCCGTGTGACTGGTCATGATGAGAATGAGGTTCTGTGTTGAGATGAAATCAAGGGGAGAAGGTTTGGCTGGTTAGTACAGCAGATTTCAGAATCAGAGTCTTCTGACAGCAGAACAATTCTTCATATGATAGACCACCTAGAATAAAATCTGCACTACCAATACTAGAAAAGGATTTATACACCTCATAAAACAATACACAATACAGTATGCTAATATATTTATAGAGTCCAGTATAGACTAAAGCAATAAGCCCCAAGAAGCCGTGGTTTACAGTGAATTTATAACAGCTAAGGGGCATTGTTAGGTACGACGTGAAGCGGAGTTAGTTGATATAAATTCACTGTAAAGCACGGCTTCACGGGGCTTATTGCTTTTATAAAACGGTTATTCCATATACGTAGTAAGGTTTCACAAAATAAAACAGAGCAAATAAAGTGTAATGATATTAATAAAAACAGTATTCTTCCACCAAACAATGTAGCTCCTCAGAAACAGTTGTGGTTGCTACAAAGTGGTTGCCGAGCAACAGACAAACGTAAACAAAGGTGTATGTTTGTAGTGTAATTTACAACAGCTTCGAACGCGGCTCAGCCAATCAGAATCAAGCACCGGAACTATCCGTTTTATAAAGCTACAGAAACTACAGATCTAAAGACAAGGCTATTCTGCTCAGTCTGGGGTAACCTCAGGGTTTCAGGGCTCAAGTCATGTGACCTCCACAGTGCGCTCACTCACCCAGCGCGTGAGGGATGAGATGAAGGAACGCATCCCCAAGCAAACCTCCAGACGCGAAACTCAAGAGCACTTTGAGCAGGTTCTGGTGCTGGTCCGTGTTTGACTGCACCGGGATGAGGAAGAGGATGAGGAAGGGAGCAGCGCTGATGAGCAGAGTGGCTCCAATGGCCTACAAGCGGGAAAGAAAGAAAGAAAGCTCAGTGTCTTAAAGCCATGGTTTTCAGCTAGACCTCCACAGACCCCTGGAGGTTAAAGACGGCACTGCAGAGCATCCGTGGACTGGAAAAATATCTCGGAAATAAAAAAATTTTTTTCTAAATGTTCTGAATATTATTCATGTATAAATGTGGTTCATGTGTTCTATAGCTTTAAATATATACATAACCTAATGCCAATTCTGATCAGGTTGATGTTATTTTGTTTGATTATTTTTTCAATTTCAGACGGTCCAGCAGTGCATCATCTGATTACATGAGTCATGTTTTTAGTATAGCATTTTAGTGCAAGGAGAATACAACACAAGGACTTCTGTGAAGATTTTTGAGTGAGCAAATAATTCAATAATTCACTAAAACACTTAGCAAGTATACAGTAAAAACAAATTGCATTCTATTCGTTTATTGTTAATTCATAGTTAATAAACAGCAGCCTCTACACATTAATAGGCTATGTACAAATAGTGAGAACAACATTCACTGTCACTAAGACATTTTTATTGTTTAATTAGCTCATATGTGTTAGATCATGTTTTAATCCCACTCATTAACCTAACTAATGTACTGAATTTAAACCAGCAGTGAAGGAGTTGTTAATGGTTATCAGGAGTAAATACTTCTTTAAAACTTGTAAATGTTTAAAAGCTCTCTTTGTACATAGCCTATTAATGTACTAACAATTTGTGACTAGAATTTATAAACTACGATTTAACTAGTTTGCAAATGATTTATAAGTACTTTATGACTGTATCAAGTGTTAACATATTTTACAGAATTCACTGAATCTGAAAAGACTGACATATTGTGACAATCTCGTCCATCAGCGTGATTTACCTGCATCCAGAGCTCCACCATGTTCCGCTTCCCTGCTTTCACATCGCTTTTCAGTCGCTCTGCTGCATGATCACCTTTGTGTGCGTGACCGTGATCGTGTGCATGTCCGTGATCGTGATCGTGAGCGTGATCGTGTCCGTGATCATGTCCGTGATCGTGTGCATGTCCGTGATCGTGAGCATGACCGTGATCGTGAGCGTGATCGTGTCCGTGATCATGTCCGTGATCGTGTGCATGTCCGTGATCGTGAGCATGACCGTGATCGTGTCCGTGTGCGTGATCGTGAGCATGTCCGTGATCGTGTGCATGTCCGTGATCGTGAGCATGACCGTGATCGTGATCGTGAGCATGACCGTGTCCGTGTGCGTGATCGTGAGCATGACCGTGATCATGTCCGTGATCGTGTCCGTGATCGTGTGCATGTCCGTGATCGTGAGCAAGACCGTGATCGTGTGCGTGATCGTGAGCATGACCGTGATCGTGTCCGTGTGCGTGATCGTGAGCATGTCCGTGATCGTGTGCATGTCCGTGATCGTGAGCATGACCGTGATCGTGATCGTGAGCATGACCGTGATCGTGATGCTCCTCTTCAGCGTGGGGCAGGTTAGCTTCAGCGCTCCATTTGCTGGCCCCATGGTGCATCTTGTCCGCTTCGTGCGAGTGTCCGTGGCAGCCGCCGCCGTGCGAGTGTCCGTGATGATGGTGGGAGTGAGCGAGTGTCTGCTGACACACTGCCATCCCAACAGTGATCAGTAACAGTGATCTGATGAAGGTCCTCATTCCTCCTGCAAACACAAACACAACACTCTTGAGCTCACACAGCATCATCAGAGCCCTAATGAGTAACAGGTCCATGCACTTCATCTAGAAGCATGATAACACACTCTTCTGCCCGGACATGGTGGAACATGTAGACTTTCAATTAACAGGAGCTCCTAAAAACTGCATGCACAATAACATAAGAAACCAAAGAAATGTTCAAAATAGTTTCAGATTAAGTACAGGATTTCACACAGTATGTCAGATTAAGTTTAACTAAAATAGCTTGAACTAGTAAAATAGGCAGTTTTGGAGGTCAGTTTGTAACAGACATTTCCAGAGCTTTTATGAACTCACACAATAGTCAATAACAATTCACGAATGAATGAATGTTCTCACAGACATCAGAACAACATCCGGCTGCAAAGCGGACATGACGACAGCAGAGAGGAAGCAATGAAATCCATTTCCGACAGGTCTGTGGTTACTGGACACCGGTTATTAAGAGCAGTTCCCTCCCAAATAAGTATTTTGGAGTAAAGCCTAACGAGAAACAGTGTTTCATCTAACTTATCTGTTAAGTTTCTGTTACGTCGAAACGTAGGAAGCCTGGAAGATCAACCGAGTCCAGCAATCTTAAATCAATTCTGTGTCACAGTAGCAGAGCAAAAGAGATCAGGATGATAACTGATGTGTTAAAAGAGATAAAAGCATCGGCTCCATTCAGTCATTAGAGCTAACATCAGGTAAATCATCACTAGTCTGTGTGTTTGAACAGGATTAAAGCTTCTCTGCAGCATCAACACACGAGCTAGAAAGTGAGCAGATCAGTGCAGTAAACACACGATCACTCTCACAAAGACCATCATGTCAATAACTTACCCGCTGCTGCTGGAGACGCCTCGCCGTCTGATAACCGCACACGACTCAACCGGTAACGGCGAAAACTCAGATTTCGCTTATTTTGCGCAGTCGGTCAAATACACACAAGCAGACGCTGCTGCTCACACTCGAACCGACGTGGCATTTAGTCAACGCACTGAAATCCCGCGAGACTTCAGATCTGTGCGTTCAAAAAGACATTAAACAATGAAATAACGCGATATTACAGTCACACGTCAAGCCGGATGCGAATGCTGTAAGTTAGTGCTTTTTAAAAGCTGTTTATCATTAGTATTATTTTAAAGCTATATTGTTTCGTTGTACATTAGGATAGTGATGAATCAGAAAATGATGGATGACCTTTCAGGAAATTACTGCAATAAATGCATTGGGTGGCGAATGTTAAACTGTTTCCTATGAGGCATAAAGTTATTGTTGCGCCAGGAGGCGCGCGGGGACTTGAGTTATGAGTATATGAATGAAAGTTTCTGTCTCAGATTAAAAAACAAACAAACATGACTTTATTTCTTGACATTACGACTTTATATCTCACAAGTACAGCTTCATGTCTCAAAATTGCTGCCTTATTTCTTAGAATTGCCTTTTTATTTATTTTGCAACTTTATATCTCACATTTATGACTTTATTTCGCATAATTGTGACATGTTACATGTTTGTTTGTTTTTTTACATTTGTGAATAAAATAAATAAAATGCATTGTAGTATTTTGGAAATGTGAAGTTGCAAGAGTCATTAATCAGTTCTTAAAAGAGTAGGCCAACCTAACCTTTACTGAGCAGTTAATGTTCCTACGCTAATGAGTTGCCCAGGGGAAAGAAATATGAAAAAACGAGATCGATTTAACAAGTCGAATCACCTTAATATTTACAGCACTTTATACAATACAGATTGTTTTAAAGTAGCGTCACAATATCAAACAGGAAGGCAACCGAATCAATGATGCTAAATTGTGCTATAAATCAGCTGTAGCAAGATAATAGTGACATTATTCAGCTCCAGCCTGTTCAGTGTTGATTCAGTTCAGTTCAGTACCATTGTAGATGTTGCAGAATTCATTCATTATGAACAAATTTGATTCAGCTATAAAGCAGAAGAAAATAATGTCAATAATCAGCTCAAGTTTTGTTCTCATCCGACTATGTCGTTGTGCCGTAAAATCAATGGTATTACTGAATATTTACATTAAACAGAATGTATTGAATTTAACATCTCAAATGTGTCTCCTATTTACTTATTTAAGTCATAAGACATCATCGGTTCAACAGAAAAGCTCCAAGGTTACTGTTCCTGTTTCTGTAAGTTGCTTTGGATGGATTAAATTGTGCACATTTTCAGTGGTCAGAAACCAAATGTGCATACTAATGGTACTTCTTTTTATTTTGCTCAACATGCTCCTTTACCGGCCTGTGTCTGTTCTCCAACTGTCCCATGCATTTCCACTGCAGAAAACATGACCCTTTCTGGGTCGGAAAGATCGGTTCGACTCCGGCACTAGAAACATGGACTGGTCTGGAACGGAAATGTTGATGCTGTCTATGGCAGTCTCACACAGTAATGGAATAACATTGCACTGTATTGCTCTGTATGTGGAAATCACCCAGTGTGCAAGAGAACGCTTTCAGTCTCAATTCTGTGTAGAGAGTAGTGTGCATGTGTGCACTCATCTGCCTCCCATAGTCACACGCTTCTCCTGACTTTTGTAATAATAAGTGACAGACACGTCCAGTCAATCATCCTGGTGTCCAGTCTGGCTGTTATTTCAGAAAGATCTGCTCCTTCAAGTTCAGAGAGACGGGAGACGCCATTGTCCTGATGCTAATCAGAGAGCCAATTGAAAATCACTCCATTCGATTACAGCCATCTGCATACTGAGCATCTGCCCCTGAAATGTGGCCAGCCGTCCGTGGTTAAAATTCGACAGAGAATTTGGCATTGCAGGTCTTATATCACTGTATTAGTTCACTGAGTTGCGTTAGCCTCGTTGGGGAATCCTGGAGTGTGGTGTATGAGGGTAACCACAGTATTACAGCACAGCTTCACACAAGCCATGATACAAGTAAAGCAAACTAAGCAACCAAAAGCAATATATGTCTTCCTCAGATGTAATGTTAGTTCTGTACATCAGCGTAGGATAAAATAGCATTATATGCATATATTATGTGGTAGAGAAAGCTGCTTACATGCAGGCTACGGGAAACAGCAAAGATGTTGAATTAAACACACACAATCAGCTTTTCCACATGTTTATACTGGCCCCGATAATCAAAACTTCTACTCACCGCTTGCTCCGTGTCTGCAGATCAGTTTTTGTGAATGAATGACTCAATCCACCTGTTGCTTTGGTCTTCATGAACCACTGAATTTGTGGAAGCGAATTTGGAAAGTGAAATAAAATGGACCGAAATTTGCCTGTCGAATATTATACATCGTATTTTTAAACAGACTGAATATTTTGGAAGTGAATTCTGGAAGGTGAATATGAATTATTGAATTTTTAATTACTGAATTTATATAAAATGTGTGTGAAATATTTTGAATTTAAATATTAACAGCGTAAATAGACAACTATGTTAAATTTCAGTACCTAAAAATGCAAGCCCTGGAAATACAAGGCATTAAAATGCAAGCACTGTTAATGCAATGCATTATTTTTTCAGTCAGTGCTATTCAACGTGCTTTTTTGTTTCAAAGACATATGACATTATTTTTCTTTCATAGTTTTTGCTCAATTTTGCTAACGAAAATAGTTCCAAACAAAGATCCCAGCACTGTTTTGCGTCTCTGAGCAACGGACGGTATTTACTTATTGAATGAATAAGCTTTTTGAACGAATCGGTTGAATAAATGATTCAGTAATTCACTCATTAACACAGTCAAATGCTTGTAACTTAATGTCTGAACTTGTGCAAGCTGCTTATTGGTCGGAGCCTAAATGAAATGTGATATTTTGGTCTCTAGATAGAGCTGGGGTCTATGGGATTGTTTGCCCTTTTTATCATACGCCAGGTGAAAATCATTAGTCTAGCTGCTAAAAAAGTAATCCACATGATTTGAGCTATCATTCATGAACACACAGTGCAGGAGAGTTATTATGACCAATAGTGATTTGAGTAAACGGCTAAATAAAAACAGCAGAATTTCTTTCTGTGAAGAGAGCGGTTACTGGTTTCATCAAAACAGCCATCAGTTTGATTTGATGTGTAATGATGTAGTCAAAGTAATTAGCATTAAAAAAAAGTTATGTTTATGGTCAATTATTTTTGTAGCTGTATCTCAGTAAGTACATTTACATGCAGAATTATAGCTGAATTACAGCAGGATAACTGAGTTCTCACAGACTTTATCTGTGTACATGAGACAATGCAGAATCAAGTATTTGAAGGAGTAAACTCACCTCACATGTTCCTTTCAGAGCAAACACACAACCACAAGTCCAGTCGACATGCAGACATGCTGTTAAAAATCCACAATAGCATTTCTATGACTTTACAAAACAGAAAAAAATACATATGGAGTCATGGGCTGATTATGTTGCTCAGAAGAGAGAAAGATGTCAAATCTATATCAGTGTGCGGACAGTACGTTTGTATTTTTGCTATAGTTTGACTTTTTTTGTCCTGCATCTGAGCCCTGTGTGGGTTTGTGGGATGTGCGCAACTTTTTTACACTTTGGTTAAAGATGTCAAATCTATATCAGTGTGCGGACAGTATGTTTGTATTTTTGCTATAGTTTGACTTTTTTTGTCCTGCATCTGAGCCCTGTGTGGGTTTGTGGGATGTGCGCAACTTTTTTACACTTTGGTTAAAGATGTCAAATCTGCCATCACTCCCTCTGCTGTTGTATTAGAAACACTCATACAGCAGCGCTAAACTGGCTTTGAAACGACTGTTAATCGATTATATATGCTTTTGTTGAAGCCATCTGCCCACATTGGGGCAGTCGTGGCCTAATGGCTAGCGAGTTGGACTTGTAACTCGAAGGCTGCGGGTTCGAGTCTCAGGTCCGACAGGGATTGTAGGTGGAGAGAGTGAATAACCAGTCCTCACTTCCACCCATAATACCACAACTGAGGTGAGACCCTTGAGCAATACTGCTCTGTGTGTGTTCACTGCTGTGAGTGTGTGTGTGTTCACTGCTGTGTGTTAAATGCAGAGCAGAGAGTATGGGTCACCATACTTGGCCACATGTCATTTCACATTAATTTAACTTTAAATTAATTTAATGTTATATGTATTATATGCATCTGAAACAACATTGTGAACTTTTATAAAGATACAAATAGGACAGTAGCAAAACAGATGTTTGGCCATTTACTGTTAAATGCATCATTATGAAAGATCTTGCATGAAAGACTTCCTTTCAAGACTCACTTTCATGAAAGAGACTGGCAGATCAACGTGCTTTTAGTTTTCTCTCTCCAATAAGGGAACAAGAATTGTTTAAGTAGTTGTAAATTTAATTTAATAAAATGTGTATGAGTGTGTATGAGAATGATAACTGTGAGAGGATGATTGCAGGTCGTTTTATGGTGTAATAGAAGAAGAACCAATTGGACACAGCATCATTCTCTCTCTGCTCTGAAGACGCAATCGTTTTTTAATTTATCCATCGCTTTTATTCAATTATGTCATTCACGGTGTTTAATGGGATTTGATTTGGGGATTGTAGTTCTTTCCCTCATTAAAGTAAAAAAAAAAGTGTCTGTCTTTTTGTGTAATCTATGAATTACACACACTTCTGGAACCTCTGGAACCAAAGGCTGGTGAAAAAGGGGGTGACTACTAATGCACTTGGGATCCCCATATGTTCTAGAGGAAATCATCTGATTCCCATGAGCAAACTTTACCCAGCCAGCATTTTTATATCTGAACTGTTCTAGTCTTACACTGTGAACATCCTAAGAACATAAATGGTTATGTAAGTTTATATATTTATTTTAACAGGAGTTTTCCATGCCTGTGTGAAATGCATTTTTTGGTATCCACATACAACTTCATTCACCTTGGACAACTATTCACTGTGGTTATGTAATTATGTTATATGATAGAACATATTGTTTCTATTAGTACAGTAACTTGATCAATGTTTTCATTAAAGAGTTAACAGCATGTTTCATCAGACTAACAGTTAGCAGGTTGTTGTTAAGACAGTGATTTA